TGTAAGATCACAGCAGGAAGACCAGGATTGCAAATGTCTGTAGCATACAGCATAGCAGGGTGAATTTTCTTTCATTTTTTTCTGAGTTGGAGTCTCATTCCGTCACCTAGGCTGGAGTGCAGTGGCACACTCACAGCCACCCCAGCGTTGACTTGCTAGGCTCTGGCGATCCTTCTGCCTCCGCCTTCCAAGTAGCCAGACCTACAGGTGCGCGCTACCAGTCCCAGCTAATTTTTTATTTATTGTAGAGATGAGGTCTCGCCAAGTTTCCCAGGCTGGTCTTAAACCCCTGGGTTCAAGCAATCCACTCGCCTCAGCCTCAGGGTGAATTTTCACACCCTGAATTTGTTGTGGTAGTAGCACCAGGCCAACAAACATTTTCTGGGATCTTGAAACATCCCTGTTATTCCTCCTGGTCACTCTCAGACCACCTTTCCTGTCTGTACCCAAGGGTGGCCACTCTGTGACTTCTAACAACCGTGGTGACTTTTGTAAACACATTTGTATGTCCTTTGTGTGTATTTACTACTTAATCTTCACAATAATCCTATGGGAAAAAATACTGTTGTCTCCATATTAAAGTGAGGAGGCCAGGCACAATGGTTCATGCCTATAATCCCTGCATTTTGGGAGGCAAAGGCGAGAGGATTGCTTGAGCCTAGGAGTTTGAGACCAGCCTAGGCAACACAGCAAGACCTTGTCTCTACAACAAAAACAAAATTAAATAAATAAAATAATTTCTGGGTATGGTGGTACATGCCTGCAGTTCCAGCTACTTGAGAGGCTGAGGCAGGAAGATCGCTTGAGCCCAGGAGTTTGAGGTTGTGGTGAGCTGTGATCGTCCCACAGCACTCCATCCTGGGCGAGAGTGAGACCCTGATTTAAAAAAACAAATAAGCCTGGTGCAGTGGCTCATGCCTGTAATTCCAGCACTTTGGGAGGCAGAGGCGAGAGGAATGCCTGAGCTCAGGAGTTTGAGACCAGCCTGAGCAACATGGTGAGACCTCCTCTCTACAATAAATCATAAATTTAGCTGGGAATGGTGGCGCATGCCTGTAGTTCCAGCAGTTCACCTTAACTCCTCTCAGAAAAATTTGAACACATGCCTCCAAGCTGTCTGAAACACATGCAATCTCCATCCTCCCAATCACCCCACCTGTTCCACTTGGCATCTGTCCCTGGGGTCTCCACTCACTCACTCCTGAGTGGGAAATAGGGGCTCTAATGGGAAATCCCACCCCTGAAGCACTAAAAATACATGGGAAAACTAACTCATGTTCTTTTTTTTTTAAAGCAGGATTTATTGAGAGGACAGAAAACCTCCTGCAGTGGAAGGGGACCTGAGGGGGTTGCCCTTAACTCAGATATTCTTGATGAAAACATTTTTTCTGAGTTGGAGTATCATCCTTGTCACCCAGGCTGGAGTGCAGTGGCACACTTACGGCCACCGCAGTCTTGACCTGCTGGGTTCAAGTGATCCTCTGCCTCAGCCTTCCAAGTAGCTGGAACTACAGGTGTGCACCACCATGCCCAGCTAGTTTTTGTGATTTACTGTAGAAATGAGGTCCCACTAAGCTTCCCAGGCTGATCTCAAACCCCTGGGTTCAGGCAATCTTCTGACCTTGGCCTTCCAAAGTGCTGGGATTATAGGCTGAGCCACCGCACCCGACCAGAAATACATTTTAAAAAGACATAGTTCTAGAATTGTGAGACACTGAATTAGGAACGCAAAGTGTGCATGATTCTTTTTTTTTTTTTTTGAGTTGGAGTCTCACTCTGTCGCCCAGACTGGAGTGCAGTGCCCGCTCCAGGCCACTGCAGCCTCGACCTGCTGGGCTCCGGCGATCCTTCTGCCTCAGCCTTCCGAGTAGCCAGAATTACAGGCACGGGCTACCACGCCCGGCTGATTTTTTGATTTATTGTAGAGATGAGGTCTCGCCAAGTTGCCCAGTGGGTCTCAAACCTGAGGGCTCAGGCAATCCACTCACCTCAGCCTCCCAAAGCACGGGATTACAGACTGAGCCACCAAGCCTGGCCATGATTACCAGAAAAATATTTACAGCTACTTGAGAGGCTGATAAACACTGATACCAGCCCAGCTGGTAAAAAGTGCCTGGCATTCTTCCTGTTATTATTACTGCAGGATCCCACTTTAATCATATGTGAACATGCCCATATGTGGCATACAATTGTTACCTGGGAGGAAGTGGGCACAGAGAGCATATTGGTTGTGAGGTTGAGGGTGAGGGCAGATGATGCTGGTTGGGGAGGGGAGCAAAGCTGAACAAGAGAGGATCATGTTTACTGGTATGTATTCCAAATTACTCCCGTATGTCTGTGACAAGAAACACTTAAAGAACAACTTCAAGGCTGGGTACTGTGGCTTACCCCTGTAATTCCAGCACTTTTGGAGGCTGAGGTAGGACTGCTTGAACCCAGGAATTTGAGATCAGCCTAGGCGACATAGCGAGACTTCTTTTCTACAAAAAAAAGCAAAAAAAAAAATAGGCAGGTGTGGTGGTACATACCTGTAGTTCCAGCTACCACAGGAGGTAGAGGCAAAAGTGTGGCCTGAGCCTAGTAGGTTGAGGCTGTGGTGAGCTGTGATCATGCCACTGCACTCTAACCTGGGTGACAGTGAGACCCTGACTCAAAAAAATAAAATAAAACAAAATAAAAAAAGAGCAACTTCAAAAGGCAATGCATAAATATTTTTTAAGAATAAAGTTTGTTTTTTTTTTGAGTTGGAGTCTCACTCTGTTGCCCAGGCTGGAGTGCAGTGGTATGCTCATGGCCACCCCAGTGTTGACCTGCTGGGGTCCTGCGATCCTCCCACCTCAGCCCTCCAAGTAGCTGGAAATACAGGTGTGCGCTACCATGCCTGACTAAGTTTTTGATTTATTGTACAGATGAGGTCTTGCCAAGTTGCCCGGGCTGGTCTTGAACCCGTGGGTTCAGGCAATCCACTTGCTTTGGCCTCCCAAAGTTCTGGGATTACAGGCTGAGCCACCGAGCCTGGCCTTTTTTTTTTTTTTTTGTAGAGACGAGGTTTATGTTGCTCAGGTTGGTCTCAAACTGCTGAGTTCAAGAGGTTCTCTGCCTCAGTCTACCAAAGTGCTGAGATTTTAGGTGTGAGCCACTGTGTCTGGCCAAGAATGAAGTTTGAAATGCAGGAAGAGGTGGCTATGAATGGCACAAACAGAAGCACCGTGTGGAGATGGTGTTCCCACTCCCTTCAAAGCCTGGAGAACTCCATGCCAATTGCCTGACATACCCACCTGGAGTGGCTGACATCAGGTGACCCAGAACTGCAGAGCCTCTGCTGTGTGCCAGTCTAGGTGGACTCACAAGGAAGTTTAACACTTAGCTCAGTGAGATAGAGCCAAGTCACAGTCCTTGATGTGGCTGTCCATCTCTGTGAACCCTACAGTGACCTGGTCAGCCTCCTGGCTGCACCCAGCATCTTGGCAGCCACTGCCAGGGCATACCTCATTCCAGGATCCACGAGACCATCTTGAGGAGCCCCACAATCTGTGTGTCCAAGCACTCTCCCTAACTCTTCCCACATCAACTCTCCCTTTGCCTCTCTTTTGTGGCTGATCCCAGAACCCCTCACCTAGTCCCTAGAGGCCCAGTTCTGCCCTGATGCCCCTTCGTCCCTGGCCCTGTTGTGGATCGTGAGGCCTCCTGACCCCCTACTTCCTCCAGCAGCTCCTTCTTGATCCTCCTACCAAACCTGGGGGAGGGCCCTCTGCACCAGTCCCCCTCCACTGCCCTGTGAGCAGGCACCCCTTTCACCCCTCTCCTGTCCCCTTCTCATGATGTCCTTGCTTCTGCAGAATCTAGTAATCACCCACCCCTCAGGCCTGACTGCAAGTCTCTCTTGCCCACCGAGGCCTGTGTGCTGACTTCCCTCTTTCCCTTGCTGTCCTCTCCCCCCTCCTCATGTACTGACAGTGCTCACTCAGGGCCCTCTCCTGAAGGACCTTTCTTTCCTTTTTGGACTCAAGGTCCCCCTCAGGACCCGACTCTCCACAGCACGCGCCCTACTGGTCACCCCTGCCAGGCAGACTCTCTGCAGCTCAGACCCCCCCACAGCCCCTTTCAAGCCTACATTTCTTGCTCCTTCTCCACTCATCTCTCTTGGACAGAGTTCTGGTCAGGGAGCAGTCCGGTCTCCCTTTATTCACTCTCTGTAGGTGTGACCCTGCCCACCCGTCCTCCTTCTTCCTCGCCCTTGGGACCCCCTCAGTTTGGCCCTCTCTGTTTCCTGGGGTCAGCGGCCCCTCCTCCCCGGGCCCATGAAGGAGCGGTGTTAGGGAGGCAGGGAGGCGCTCTGCACTCTTCTCCTCCCTGGGGGTCTTACGTCCCAGCTGTGACTCCGCACAACCTCTACCCCCACCGTCGTCCTTCCTGGTCCCTCCAAGCAGAGGCCAAGATCCCTCAGCTCCTCTCCCCTACACCAGTCCAGCACTGGACAAAGCCCTCGCGTCCAGGAGCGCGCGCTCCAGCGGGAGACGGACATCTGCCACCTGCCGCCCAGACCCCAGTCTTCTCGCTTCGTAAACCACCCCGCTCACCTCCTGCCTTACACCAGCGGGAATCCCTCACCCTACACGGAGGCACCTCACCTCACCAGGTCAAGACAGGAGCCCCAGACCTCGCGGCCCAGAGTGGGTCGCTCTAAGTCACCCTAGACAAGTCACTTAACCACTAGATGCCTCCTCGGCCGCTCAGTGGACGACACCTGCCCTCTGGGAGACCTCTGGGAGGGCCAGACGCCCTTCCAGTCTCCTTCGGGGTTGTATACCCAGATGACACCGCAGGCGGGATCTCCCAGGGCGCCCGCGCGGTTGCCTGAGTGGCGGCGAGCGGGGGGGAGGGATGTGGGAGGGAACTGGGGGCGTGGAAGTCGGCGTCCACGGGTGAACTACAAGTCCCAGAGTGCACTGCGCCTGGCCGGTCGCCACTCGCCCGGAAAGTGGTTCCGCTCGGGACCTCGCCCCGGAAGATAAGGCGGCTCACTTGCGTCGTGTTTCCTCTTTCAGCCGCGCTGCGGAACGGGTAAGTCGTGCTTGTGGGACTGCGGCCTCGGCACCATCCGTCGCCATCCGCGTCTTTAGGGCTTCCCGGGAGGCCGGCCCTCCCCTGAGAGGACGGCGGCGTGCGGTTGTGGAGGGAGTCGGCGGTGGCGGGCTCGGCGGCTTCTGGGGCGGGGTTGCGGGCAGCGGGGCTCGGTGGCGCGTGCCTGGCCTGCCTGGACGCTGACCATGAGCTGCCCCCAGACCCGCCGACATGGGCCGTGTGATCCGTGGACAGAGGAAGGGCGCTGGCTCAGTGTTCCGCGCGCATGTGAAGCACCGTAAAGGAGCCGCGCGTCTTCGCGCAGTGGACTTCGCCGAGCGGCACGGCTACATCAAAGGCATCGTGAAGGTGCGGGGACCGGCTGGGGCTGGAGGCAGGGGGGACGGGGCGCCAAGCTGGTACCCCTTGTTCACGCCGCTCCGGCCGGCAGGACATCATCCACGACCCGGGCCGCGGCGCACCCCTCGCCAAGGTGGTCTTCCGGGATCCCTACCGGTTTAAGAAGCGGACGGAGCTGTTCATCGCCGCCGAGGGCATCCACACGGGCCAGTTCGTGTACTGTGGCAAGAAGGGTTAGCCTCGCGACTGGGACGGAGAGTCCCCTCCGGTGGGGAGGGGCTGCGGGTGCTGCCTTAGGAGCTCACATCCTGAGCCGGTGTGGGAACATATCATGGGGATATCCGCGTGGTCAGACGAGTGCCTGTGGGTCGCTGCAGAGCTGTGGGGTCAAGCTGGACGTTGAATGGAAGTCTGGGGGCTGCCTAGAGCCAGGGGGTTCGCATTGCTTCTGGATTCCCTGATGGCCGGGTGCCACTTTTCTTCGCAGCCCAGCTCAACATTGGCAATGTCCTCCCTGTGGGGACTATGCCTGAGGGTACGATCGTGTGCTGCTTGGAGGAGAAGCCTGGGGACCGTGGCAAGCTGGCTCGGGCCTCAGGGAACTACGCCACTGTTATCTCCCACAACCCCGAGACGAAGAAGACCCGTGTGAAGCTGCCTTCCGGCTCCAAGAAGGTCATCTCTTCAGCCAACAGAGCCGTAGTTGGTGAGTACCAGGTAGTAGTTGAATGCTGAGGGCTGTGGGTGTACCGACTGGGAGACTTGGTTCCTAGAATCCTATTGCCTGTTCCTCTAAAGCTTGGGCTCTATAAGCTTGAGCTCATCTCAGGGTCTCTGAGTTGTCGAGCTTGTAAAGTGGGCTCAATAGCACCTGCTTCACTGCTGTCAGGGAGTTGAATGAGATTGGGATTAAGTCACCTAGGCCCTTGTTAGGCAGATTCCTTTACTTGCATACAGCTAGTTAACACGTCACAAAAGATGGGGTCAGGTGTTTATGAGTTTCTCAGAGACATCTACTGAGTGAGTGAAAAAGGATTTGAGTTTAGGTTAGCTCACTTCACGCTGGGCAACATCTTGGAATCCCTGTGCTGAACCCAGCCCCACACAGGATGCTCTAAGAATATGTCTGTAGAATAAGCAATGCTGAGATGGGAGCAGGTTGGGTCAATTGTCTTTTGGGGGTGGGGGATTCAGATTAAGTGACCTGCGTGGTGTGTCACATAGGTGGAAGGAGAGGGGGTTCATCAACCCACATTATGCAAGGGGCTCCCTAGGATGGGAGGTTGGTGGTGGTTTGCTTGGTGGTTGAATCCTGTATTGACTCCTGCATGAAGGTGTATGATTGAGTTCTAAAAGGTGTTTAGCATGGGTTAGGAATAGAGGTGCGTTGCTTGGGGATCCTGAGGTGTCTAATCCTCCCCTATAGGTGTAGTGGCAGGTGGTGGTCGAATTGACAAACCCATCTTGAAGGCTGGCCGTGCCTATCACAAATACAAGGCAAAGAGGAACTGCTGGCCACGAGTACGTGGTGTGGCCATGAATGTAAGTAGCCCACAAATTTGAGATGCGGTGTTCAAGGGATGTGTGTCCATGTAGTTGGGTAGACACGCCTTTATCTAGGAGTGTCCCCTCTCCGTATTCTAGGGGATCTGCTGTGGGAGAAACTTGGGTAGTGGTTTGCAGTCACAGGGCTGTTAATCCTGCCCCGGCTCTCGTGAAGCAGGTGGGATCACCCTCATTCTGACACCATCTTTCTTCTTGTAGCCTGTGGAGCATCCCTTTGGAGGTGGCAACCACCAGCACATCGGCAAACCCTCCACTATCCGCAGAGATGCCCCTGCTGGCCGCAAAGTTGGTCTTATTGCTGCCCGCCGGACTGGACGTCTCCGGGGAACCAAGACTGTGCAGGAGAAAGAGAACTAGGGCTATGGGGCTCAATAAAGTTTGTCCTTACGCCACTAGGCTGTGCCACTCCCATGGTTTCAGAGGGAGGGGTTACTGTTGGGAGATTGCTGTGGACCCCCCTGGTTGGTACAGGGAGGAGTAAGATGGAGTTGACCACCAGTGAATGGTGGAAGGGAAAGTCCACGGCTGAAGAAGAGGTGCAGGTGCTCTGGGCCAGAGCTTTGCTTCTCCATAGAGGGACCTAGGACCTGGCACTTAGGTAGGTGATTTGTCCTGTGACTTGCAGTGCTTGGATGTTAGAACCCATTTCACAAATGAGGAAACTGAAGAACAGGAAACCGGTTAGGACCCAGTCTGAGCCTGGTGTTCTGAACCATACTCTTATTCTGCCAGGGTCTGCTGGCAACACCCTTCTTTCCTGGGTGATGGTACAGCCGTAATGTAAATGTGTTCTTGTGCCTGGGGTGCCTGACTTGCAGGTGCCAACCTAGTGAGGGGAGGTGGTCTGCCTTGCACAGATAACTTGAAGGGTGGGGACTGGAAGAAAGGGAAACAGACAACCTATTCACAGCCAGAAAGGCTGTGACTGGCCTGACCATCTTCCCCTGCAAACCACTAGGAGTGGCCTGCGTGTGTCGTTCCCCTGCCCCCCCATGATGGGTGGTGAGTGGTTACTGCTGGAGTGGAGGGCCCTGGGTACTTGACCCTCTGGATTGAGGCTTCCTCTTTAGCCTGGTCGTGACAAGGTATTCTGGTTGGTGGGAGGCCGGTCCCAGGTACCTGTTGGGATTGCTGACCTATGCTGTATAAAGGGATGACAGCGCAGTGCATGTGTGGCAGCCCTAGACTGTGCCTACCTGCGTTGTCAACCTTGTTTTGGGCACTTCGAGGAGGTAGGTGAAAGGTTATGACTTTTCCCTGCAGTCAGAGATGGTCCCGAGAAGCTACACACTAAAAACACCAGAGAAGCCGACCGGCATTGCTGCTTGTTTGGTCATAAACCATGGCGTCTTGACTACGACAGGCTGAGTGTCCAGACCCCAGGGCAGCCTCAGGTGGAAGTCTTATCAGTGCTCAAACTGCCACCAATGAATGCAGTAGCTGCTGACCATTGTTCGTAATAGCACTCAGGGGACTGCCAGGTGGATGGCAGCAGGCAGGCTTAGGTGGGGTGTTTTCTTCATGCAGACCATGGATGGGTGCCAGTTGGCTAATGGCAGGAAGATGAGTTGGGTGGTTCCTGTTCTCATGGTACACACCTGTGAGCCTTACCCCATATTTTTTGTTTTCCTGATCCTGCTAGTGTGGGTCCCACCTGCCTCTTAGTGCCCAGCCTACCTAGGCAGGGAACAGGGCAAGGACCTGTTACCTTTTTTTTTTTTTTTTGAGTTGGAATCTCACTCTGTCACCCAGTCTGGAGTGCAGTGGCTGCTCCTGGCCACTGCAGCCTTGCCTGCTGGGCTCTGGCAATCCTTCCCCCTCAGCCTTCCAAGTAGCCGGAATTACAGGCATGTGCTACCACACCCGGCTGATTTTTTGATTTATTGTAGCGATGAGGTCTCGCCTGCCCAGGCGGGTCTCGAACCCGCGGGCTCAGGCAATCCACTCACCTCAGCCTCCCAAAGGCGCAGGATTACAGGCTGAGCTACAGAGCCCGACTGGACCTGTTTGCTTTTGAGATGGGCTCATCACGTCCAAACTGGTCTCAAGACTCCTGGTCTCTAGTGAACCTCCCATCTCGTGCTCCCCAGCACCTAGGGGACCTGATTTTGATCCTGAGTCCCAGTTAGAGGTAGAGAATGCAGGAGGGTAGCACTTAACTCCTGAAGGATAGAGGAGCATCTGGGAAGAGGGTATTGGGGAAACACTAGGTATGGCTGCTGTGGCCATAAGTGGCACTGCTTTTCTGCTCCCTTCTGGGCAAAGTGGATTCAGGCCTTGGCCAAGGGACCTGCCATCAGGATCTGCTCCAGAAACAGCTTCAGGTACTTGAGAATACTTTTTTGAGTTGGAGTCTCATTCTGTCGCCCAGGCTGGAGTGCAATGGCACGCTCATGGTTACTGCGACCTCGACCTGCTGGGCTCAGGCGATCCTTCTGCCTCAGCCTTCCAAGTAGCTGGAACTACAGGTGTGTGCCACCATGCCGAGCTAGTTTTCTGATTTTTATTGTAGAGATGAGGTCTTGCCAAGTTGCCAGGGCTGGTCCTGAGCCTGTGGGCTCAGGCAATCCTCTCACCTTGCCTCCCAAAGTGCTGGGATTATAGGCATGAGCCACTGCGCCCAGCTGAACACTTTTTTAGGGTGGACATGGGCCCGTCTATAGGGTTAGGTGTGGGGGCAACGGGTTAAGCCCTAAAACCGGCTAATTGGGGCAGTAAGCATCTCTCAACCCTGAGGAAGAGTAATTCCCAGCGCCTTTCTCTGTAAAGGCGTTTTTTGTTTTTCTTTTGTTTTCTTTTTTTGTTTTTTCTTTTCTTTTGAGTAGGGGTTTCACTCTATCACCCAGATTGGAGTGCAATGGCCGCTCCCGGCCACCGCAGCCTCGACCTGCAGGGCTCCGGATATCCTTCCGCCTCAGCCTTCCAAGTAGCTGGAACTACAGGCGCGCGCTACCACGCCTGGCTAATTTTTGATTTATTGTAGAGATGAGGTCTCGCCAAGTTGCCCAGGCAGATCTCGAACCCGCGGGCTCAGGCAATCCACTCACCTCAGCCTCCCAAAGTGCTGGGATTACAGGCTGAGCCACCGAGCCCGGCTTGAGCCTTTCTTAGTGGCGCCTTTTGGGGCTCACTAGGGAGAGAAATTCTCAGAAGGTAATAGTGTAATTTTTTTTTTCAAGTTGAATCTCACTCTGTCACCCAGGCTGCAGTGCAGTGGCACGCTTATGGCCACCGTAGCCACGACCTGCTGGGCTCAGGCGATCCTTTCTGCTTCAGCCTTCCAAGTAGCTGGAACTACAAGGCGTGCGCCACCACGTCCAGCTAATATTTTATTTGTTGTAGAGACGAAGGCTTGCCATTTTGCTCAGGTTGGTCTCGAACCCCTGAACTCAGGCAATCCTCTGGACCCCGCCTCCAGCTACTGTAATCTGTTCATCTTTGGTCACCAAAGCCTTTGACTATTGCCTCGGTTCTGAGGCCTCCGTGACATGTCTTCAGACTGCCACCTGGTGGCAGCGTTACCGATTTACGGTTTGCCATTCGCTGTCCGCCGAAGACCTACTGAGCTAGGGAGGCGGACAACCAAGACGCGGAGTCCTCGTTTCCCAGAGCGGCCCGAGCCGTGTTTCGCACAACGGTTGCGGGGATCTGCATGACGTCAGTTCCGCTTCGGTTTTGATTGGCGGGGCCTAAGGGCGACCCGGCCTGGTAGGGCCGGCACTCAGCTGCGGCGCTGCGGTGAGTGTGGGCCCGGCTGGGGTGCGGGTGGCTGTGGCCGCCGGGTCTCTGGCCTTGGAGCGCGGACGCTTCCCCGCGACTTGCCTCATGCCCTCTCCTCTCGCGCTGCTCCGGGCCGGGGTCCGGCCCGCCATTGGCAACACCTTGCCCCGGGGTCCCCTGACAAGGCCTCAAGCTCCGAGTGGTCTGCCTCGTTCTTCTCCCCACCCCGGGGTCGTTCCTTACCGGGCTCATCCCCTGCTGTAGAGGTCCCTTCGCAGGTTCCATGCCCTGTCCAGGGTTCCACCTCCTGCCTCGCGTCCTCTGTCCCACAGGATGGCTTCTGCCTCCCGGGGTGACCCGGAGCCCCTTACTCCTAGTGCTCCGAAGCCTTCCCCTACCCAGCTGTCCCCAACTCCTCTTTCCTGTCAACTCGTAAGCAGCAGACTCGCTCGTCCATCAGTTCTCCCCATTTGCCTCCACTCCCCCTGCAGATCCTGCCCCTCTTTTTTCCCTCGGCTCATTCCAAAATGCTCATCCCCCTGGATGTACCTTTCTTTCTTTCTTTTTTTTTTTTCTGAGTTGGAGTCTCTCTCCGTCGCCCAGGCTGGAGTGCAGTGGCACGCTCACGGCCACCCCAGCATCGACCTGCTGGGCTCCGGCGATCCTTCTGCTGCAGCTTTCCAAGTAACCGGAACTGCAGGCGTGCGCTACCGTGCCCTGCTAATTGTTTTTAGTTTACTGTAGAGACTAGGTTTCGAACCTGCAGGCTCAGGCAATCCACTCGCCTCAGCTCCCAACGGGCTGGGATTACAGGATGAACCACTGAGCCCAGCCTGGATGTACCTTTTCTCCATCCCGTCATCTTTTAGCTTCTGGCGCTCCCGCAGCCAAGCAACCAGGTTTTGTTTCTCATTTTTCAAGGGTTGAACCTTTGTTTGCTCCTTGTCTTGTGCTGCTTAATATACCTATTTATAGCCTGGCGTGGTGGTGCTTGCCTGTAGTCCCAGCTTCTATATAAAAGAAACTATTTTTCTGAGAAAGTTTTAAAATAAAAGGAAGTACAGAGAATGAGTTATCAAACACCAGTGACTGGGAATGCCAGTCCTCATTTTGCCACATGTGTTTCAATGTATTTTATATATTGTCTTTGCCTTATGCCTTCTATTGTTTTTGATCTCCTTTTCTTTCTTAGTCCTTAACATTTTGTCTTTATTCTTCCAAAGTAAAGTGAATGAGTATTGTCCTTCTCCTCTTGAATGATACAACTTAGCATGCCATGGAAGAGGAGGAGGGTAGATGACCTGAGAGCAGCAAGCAGTAGGGTTGGAAATGGGGAAAGGCAGCCCCAGGAAAGAGCAGTCTGCCTGGGAGGCCAATAGTGCTGCATTGGGATGGGTAAGGGTGGAAGGCAGGCAGGGTTTATGTTGTTTATGGCAGCACCAAGTGGCCTGAGCTATGGAAGAAGGGGCCAAGCTGGGCCTCCATGTGCTCTTTTCTCTTATCTCAGTACCTGAGTGACCAGCTCCTGCCCACTGCCCTCAGAAAGCCTAGAGCACAGGCAATGGCAGCCTTGTTCCTGTCTGCCCCACTGCAGGTGAGTATCTGTTGTCCTGGGAGGTGTGATAGCTTCGCCTAGGGCTTCCCTTGGCAAACACTGTCAAGTATCTCTAGTCTGGGGTGCTGATATCAAAGGAGGGGTGGCCCTGGAACCTATATTCTCCCACCCCTGCTGCTGTTACTCCTTGGGACACATTAACTGGCTCAGCAGCAAGTGGGTCAGGCCACCCCCTGTGCTACTGTTCTCAGCATGCTTCTGCTGCTTCCCTGATCCCTGGTGCCCACTCTGAGCCACATTCAGGCTGCAGCATTCCCTGTCTTTTCCAGGCTGAGGTGACCTTCGAGGATGTGGCTGTGCTTCTCTCCCGGGAGGAGTGGGGCCGTTTGGGCCCTGCTCAGAGGGGCCTCTACAGGGATGTGATGCTGGAGACCTATGGGAACCTAGTCTCACTGGGTAAGACCCTTCACTGGGACTCAGTTCTGGGAACAGCCCTGGGGACTGACTTGGTAGGGACTGGGCTGGGGACCTTACTCCTGCACCCAGAGATGGGTGATGCTGACTCTTGTCTAGGTAGGTACCTGCTCTGAGAAGAGGAAGGGAAGGACAGTTCTGGGAACTTCCTGAGTCAGCCCTTCTCAAGTCTAAATTCCCAGAGGAGACAGGCCTCCCACTCCAGATCTGAGGCAGACTCCTTCCCAAGAGGAGTTCTGCACCTCCTAGTAGAGTGAACTCCTGAGCTCTTGTTCCTTTGTGCTCAGGCCTTCATCTTCATGACCATCTGCAACCCAATCTCAGCCCACTCCAGAGAGAGTCCAAGCTTCTGTCACCCCTCTACCTGTGCTTCTCCTCCCGCTACAGCCCTGGGATGAAGTGGTGCTAGGTGCAGCTCTGCATCCTTGATACCAATCCCAGGCCATGTCTCTTTTCCAGGAACAGGACATGCAGGTCCCAAGCCTGGGGTGATCTCGCAGTTGGAACGAGGGGATGAGCCATGGGTCCTGGATGGACAGGGTGCCTCGGGGAGAGAGCATCTGAGAGTCACCAGCTCAGGTGCGTGAGGGGATCTGCCTCCCCAAATGGGTGAGGATTAGTTGGGTCCAAGATACATGGCTAATAACTCGGGAGTTTGGGGGGAAGATAGATCAGGTCTAGCATGAGATGCCTGAGAGTGGCCTTTGCTGAAGCCCAAATCGCCTCTGTCAGCTTGGTGCCTCAATGGGGAAATTCTTGAGCAGAATCTTCTAGAAAGGTTGGGAGTGTTGTGGAAGAAAATAGGGAAGGCCATTCCAGACAGGCGTGGTGTATAGAGGTGAGTGAATGCAGACCAGGGATGCTATGAGGGGAGGTGAGGGCCTACAGGCCCTGGCAGAATTCTGCCCTCCAGAGCTTACGCCTTACAAGGAAGGCCAGACAGTGAAGGTGTAGTGGTGGAAACCATTGCTTTATTTCCCTATTTCTTTATTTTTGTTTTAGATTTAGGGGGTGCACATGTGTGTTAGTTACATTGGTGTATTGTTTAGTAGTGGGGATTGGGTCTCAGGTAGCTCATTCCCCAGAGAATGAACATTGTGCCCCGTAGGTAGTTTCTAAACCCTAATCCCCAGTTCCTTTTGCTCCCCTCCCCCTTATTGGTATCCCCAGTGTCTATTACTTTTATCTTTGTGACCATTTAGCTCCCACATATGAGTGAGAACGTATGATGTTTGATTTTCTATTTCTGAGTTAGCTCGCTTCATTTCCCTCTCTTCTAAATTAACCCATTATGGGAAAGTGAGAGAATATACTTCACTCTGAATCTTACCACCTAGACACAGTTGTATTTTAGTATATTCCTTTCTGTTCCTTTTCTAGCACTGGCTTTTCAATACTCATGTACGGACACTGTTTAGTAACAGGAATGACCCCTGTGCTCTGCTGTGCTGCCTGCTGTTTACTAAATGTATTTCTATTTCTGTGCATAGGAGTCTTGTTCAGGCTCTCAGTGCTAACCGGAATGTTGTCTGATTTCCCTGCATGGACAGCTGTAATGGTCATCTTTTTGCACATGTCTGATGTCCCAGGAAGGAACTGCCGGCTTAAAGGACTTAATTTTTCTTTTGTAAATTTGCTTATTTGAATGTGAATACTAATAGAGGACAAACCCTAAATTTACAGCTCAGGGAATTTTTATGAAAAACCATCCTCTAGATCAAAATACAGAATGTTTCCAGCTCCCCAGGGATTCCCTGGCCTGCCTCCTCTGTCATTTCCCACTCCTTCTTTCTTTCTGACTCCTGTCATGAGAGGCTGCTTTGCTCCTTTGGATTTTTCTGTCTGGACTCATGCAGGGCACCTTTTGCTGAACATTGTGAGAGCTGTTTGTGTTCGTGGAGCAGCAGTTTGGTCTGTTTTGTTGTCAGAAGATATTCTATAGCGTGAACATACCATGATTTATATTCCCTTCTACTTGTGGAGGACATTTAGTTGTCTTCAATTTGGAGTTGTACAGAAATTGCTGTGGACATTCTTGTGCATGTATCTCTCTGGTGCACAGAATGTGTTTCTGGGGATGTGTACCTGGGAGTGGACTCACTGGGTCAGTGTATTCATAGATCAGCTTTAGGCTGATGCTGTGATACTGTCTTCCAAAGCAGTGAGTGAGCACTGTCTGCTGCATATATTGGTGATACGGGCATTCAACCCCTGTTCGTGTGCAGTGCAGGGCCAGGCAAGGAGTAGAAGGACAGCCCTCTTAGGACTGGAAAGGGAGCAATGATAAAAGTGGCCCCATCATAAACTGCTTGCACCTGAGACTCACTGTTCTGGGCACTGGGCTGAATGCTTGATGGTCAGTCTGTTAATTATTTCATTCTCATGATAGTGTCTTACGGTAGCAGCTGATATGACCTGTGTTCTTCAGATGGGGAAACCAAGGCTCAGAAAAGTAGGTTTGTTGCCTTAGGTCACTCAGCTGGCAAGTGGAAGCTAGGACTGATCAATCCTGAGTATGGCTGCTGGTGTCAGTCTCAGAGGGACTGTGTGGCAGGACCCCTCTTGGGTATTTGTCACTGTCCATTTTGGAGGAGTGGCCACTCCAGGAGAAGTATGGTGTGTGTCAGTTGAAGAAGGAGGGAATGGATTTTTAAGGTGTCAGGAAGTGTTTCATGTAGGTGTCTTGAGTTTAAGGTGTTGGTGGCTGACCCAGATGGTCTTTTGGCCCCCAGGTACAGCCCTGGGAATGGATGTGGATTGCTATGGAGAGCCAAGGAGCCCTGGTCTGTGTGTTCTACCCTTCCTCCTGTGGAGTTGGCATTCTACCCTCCCAGGAAGGCAGCTGTCTTTTCTGCCATGGACTTTGAGATGGCCTAGATTTGCTTGGCCTTAGTCTTTTTTTTTTTTTGAGTTAGAGTCTCACTCTGTCACCCAGACTGGAGTGCAGTGGCACGTTCCCGGCCACTGCAGCCTCGACCTGCTGGGCTCTAGTGATTCTTCCACCTCAGCCTTCCAAGTAGCCGGAAGTACAGACGCGCGTTACCACACCCGGTAATTTTTGATTTATCATAGAGCCGAGATCTCGCCAAGTTGCCTGGGTGGGTCTAGAACCCATGGGCTCAGGCAATCCACTTGACTCGCCCTTCCAAAGTGCTGGGATTACAGGCTGAACCACTGAGCCTGTCGGCCTTAGTCTTTTTATCTGTCAAAGTCCTCTGTGATTTTCAGGGTTCCTCCTTGCTCTGGTTTTCATGGTGCTGTAAATACTTTGTCTTCTGTCCTTTGGCAGAGTCATGTTCTACAGTCCCATGCAGACAGTGAGGCAGAGTGTGAAAGTTAGTTTGTTGGGCCTGGGTTTAGATGCTCACACTACTATGTGACTATGCCCCTGGGTAAGGTCCTTAAGCCTCTGAGCTCCATGCTGTTGCCTGTAAGGGTGTTGTGACTTTGGAGATGACCAAACTGGTAATTCACAGGTGGTCAGAAGCATCTTCATGCTTTTCTTCCAGAGTCAGAACAGGTGACCCGTAGATATTTTGTTTGTTGTTTCAGTTTGTGAGACCAGGACTGAGTACAAGGAGTTGACTTCATGGGAAACATTTGATGAGCAAGAACTGGACCATCTCAGGGGGATTTTTTCCCAGGGACCTGAACCAGTAGAAGCCTATGATCATGTCAGGAAGTTGGAGGGGAGCCTGGGCAAGCCGGTGGAGCAGAGAGGCCCAAGGCCAGTGACACTGACTACCAGAGAGAGCAACTGGGAGTCTGGGGGAAACCTCAGGTTGGGATCAAGTCCTATCCCTGATCAGAGACCTCACAAGTGTGATATATGTGAGCAAAGTTTTGAACAGAGATCATACCTCAACAACCATAAACGTGTACACAGGTCAAAAAAACCAAATATAGTTCATGATTCTGGGGAAATCTTCAATGCAAACTTAGTTGTTAAAGAAGATCAGAAAATTCCTACTGGGAAAAAATTGCATTATTGTGGTTACTGTGGGAAGACATTCAGGTACAGTGCCAACCTTGTCAAGCACCAGCGGCTTCACAGTGAAGAGAAGCCCTACAAATGTGATGAGTGTGGGAAAGCCTTCAGCCAGAGCTGTGAGTTCATTAATCACCGAAGGATGCACTCAGGGGAGATCCCCTACCGGTGTGATGAGTGTGGGAAGACATTCAATAGGAGGCCCAACCTCATGAAGCATCAAAGAATTCACACTGGGGAGAAGCCCTATAAGTGTGGCGAGTGTGGGAAACACTTTAGCGCCTACTCTTCCCTTATTTATCACCAGAGAATCCACACTGGAGAGAAACCCTATAAATGTAATGACTGTGGGAAAGCCTTTAGTGATGGCTCAATCCTCATCCGACATCGACGGACTCACACTGGTGAAAAACCATTTGTGTGTAAGGAATGTGGCAAAGGCTTTACCCAAAGTTCTAATCTTATCCAACATCAGAGAATTCACACCGGAGAGAAACCCTATAAATGTAATGAATGTGAGAAAGCCTTCATCCAAAAAACCAAACTTGTTGAGCATCAGAGAAGCCACACTGGAGAAAAGCCCTATGAATGTAACGACTGTGGCAAAGTTTTCAGCCAGAGCACCCACCTCATTCAGCATCAGAGAATTCACACAGGAGAGAAGCCCTACAAATGCAGTGAGTGTGGGAAGGCCTTCCACAATAGTTCTAGACTCATTCACCATCAAAGGTCACACCATGGAGAAAAGCCTTACAAATGCAGCGACTGCAAGAAAGCCTTCAGCCAGAGTACGTACCTGATTCAGCATCGGAGGATCCACACTGGAGAGAAGCCCTACAAGTGCAGTGAGTGTGGGAAAGCCTTCCGGCACAGTTCCAACATGTGTCAGCATCAGAGGATTCACCTGCGGGAGGACTTCACCATGTGATGGTGGAGGAAGATCTGAGGGCAGAGTCCTATTGAGCACTTCCTTCATGTGCCCCTAACACCTACCCCTGCCCTTTATTTATTGTTCACAGGGTGAAAGGGCAGTTCTGTCTAATTAAAGAAAACTTTTTTTAAACCAAAAGCCGTGCATGTTCATTTTAGAGCGGTGACAGAGAAAAGTGGGCAAAAAAGCTCATTTATTCTCCCCACTTAGAGGATTCATTGCTACTGACTTAGAATGTCTCCTTTCATACACACTGGAGAGGATTTTTTAAAGAAAATACTGTTTTGCTTATTCTCATAAGACCTAGGATCTTCACCTTTTCTGTCTCCTTAATATCAGAAAATTCACACTGGAAAGAACTCCACATAGTTTTACATATTGTAAATAAGAATTTAATGCATTTTGACTTTCCTATGTCACTTAATAGAGTTGAAGTTGCCTTTTTATTTGTGGTAAAATTTACATTACATAAAATTTACCATTTTAATAATTTTTAAGTATCCAGCTCACTGGCGTTAAGTACATTTGCAGTGTGTAACTATTTCCACTGTGTATTTCTAGGACTGTTTTATTATCTCAAACAGAAACTCTGTACCTATTAAACAATAACTTCATTCTCCCCTTCTCCCCACTGCTGATAACCTCAATTCTGTTTTCTGTCTCTGAATTTGCATATTCTAGGAACCTCTTATGAGTAGAATCATATATTGTGTCCTTTTATGTCTGCCTTAGTTTATTTAATGTAATGTTTTAAAGTTTTGTCCATGTTGTATTCTGTGTCAGAACTCCATTTCTTTTTATAACTGAATAGTATTCCATTGTATGTATATTATACCACATTTGCTAATTCATTCATCTGTTGTTGGAAACTTGGGTGTTTCCACCTTTTGTGAATAATACCGGTGTGAACATTGGTATAAAAATATGTGTCGAATCCCTACTTTAAGTACTTTTGGGTATATACCTAGGAGTGAAATCACTGGGTCATATGGTAATTATTTAACTTTTTGAAGAATGGTCAAATTGTTTTCCACAGTAGCTGCACTGTTTTACATCCCCACTAGCAATGCACAAAGGTTTCAATTTTTCCTTGCCAAAACTTGTTATTTCTGCTTTTTTGATAACAGCCATCTAAATGGGTCTGAAGTGTTATCTCATTGCGATTTTGATTTGAATTTCCCTAATGTTGAAAATATACTGTTTGTATATTTTCTTTTTTTTTTCCAGCACATGCCTGTAGTTCCACCTACAGCATGTGGAAGGCAGAGGAGTGTTTGCATATCTTCATTCTTTTTTTTTAAGAGACAAGGTCTTGCTTTATTGTCCAGGCTGGAATGCAGTAACCTGATCATAGCTCACTGCAGCCTTGACTTCCTGGGCTCAAGTGATCCTCCTGCCTCAGTCTCCTGAGTAGCTAGAACTACAGGAACACCACCACACTTGACTGTTTTAAATATTTTATGGAGACAGGGTCTCACTATGTTGCCCAGACTGGTCTCAACTACTAGATTCAAACAGTTGTTCCACCTTGGCCTCTCAAGGTTTTGTAATTACATGCATGAGCCACTGTGCTGGCCTATTTGTATTATTTTCTTAGGAGAAAAATCTATTGAAGTCCCTTGCTTTTTTTTTTTGAGTCAGAATCTCACTCTGTTGCTGGGGCTGTAGTGCAGTAGCGTGATCATGGCTTGCCAAAGCCTCAACCTCCTGGGCTCAGGCGATCCTTCCATCTTAGTCTTCCAAGTGTCTGAGAATACAGGTGCAAACCATTATGCCCAGCTATTTTTTTTTTTTTATATAGAAATGAGGTCTCACTGTGTTGCTTAGGCTGGTCTTGAACTTCTGGGCTCAAGCAATCCTGCCTTGGCCTCCCAGTGTGCAGAGATTAAAGGCGTAAGCCACTGTTCCCAGCCATTTTTTGCCCATTTTTGAATTGGGTTCTTTGTTTTTTGTTGTTGAATTGAAAGATTTATATATCCTGGATATTAATCTCTTATCAGATATATGGTTTGCAAATGTTTTATTCTGTAGGTTGTCTTTTCACTCTGATAGTGTTTTCTGGTGCACAAAAGTTTCAATTTTGATGAAGTTCGATTAACCTATTATTTGTTGCCTTTCCTTTAAGTGTCATGCAAGAAGTCATTGTCAATTCTAAGGTCATGAAGCTTTTCTACTATATTCTCTTCAAATAGTTTTAAGCCTAGTATTTTGCTCTATGATACTTTTTTTTTGGAGTCTCACTCTGTCGCCCAGGCTAGAGTGCAGTGGCACACTCACGGCCACTGCAGTCTCGACCTGCTGGGCTCAGGCGATTCCTCTGCCTCTGCCTTCCAATTAATTGGAACTATAGGCATCTGCTATCACATCCAGCTAATTTTTTGATTTATTGTAGAGATGAGGTCTCTCCAAGTTGCCCAGGCTGTTCTTGAACCTGTGGGCTCAGGTATTCCCTTCACTTTGGCCTTCCAGAGTGCTGGGATTACAGTCTTGAGCCGCCACACCCAGCCTGTGATATATTTTGAACTAATTTTTACATATGGTATACCATAATGGTCCAGCTTCATTCTTGAATATCGAGTTTTTCCAGCAATATCTGTTGAATAGACTTTCCTTTCCCAATTTAATAGTGTATTCAGAATAACACGATACTACAAACTGGGTGTCTTGGCCTAAACAACAGAAATTTATCACTTCCAGAGGCTGGGAAGTCCCAGATAAGGTGTTGGCCTATTTAATTCCTGATGAGGGTCTTTTTCTGCTTGTAGATGGCTGCCTTCTGCTACGTCCTCACTTGCTAGAGAGAGATTTCTCTCTCTTATAAGGGAATCAGCCCTATTGGGTTAGAGCCCCACCTTTTTTTTTTTTTGAGTTGGAGTCTCACTCTGTCACCCAGACTGGAATGCGTGGCTGCTCCCGGCTACCGCAGCCTCGACCTGCTGGGCTCCGGCAATCCTTCCGCCTCAGCCTTCCAAGTAACTGGAACTACAGGCATGCGTTACCATGCCTGGCTAATTTTTTTGATTTATTATAGAGATGAGGTCTCGCCAAGTTGCCCAGGCAGGTCTCGAGCCCGCGGGCTCAAGGCAGTCTACTCACCTCAGCCTCCCAAGGCGTGGGATTACAGACTGAGCCACCGAGCCTGGCTGAGCCCCACCTTTATGACCTTATTTAGCCTTTGTAACCTTCTTCCAGGCACTGTCTCCAAATATAGTCATGCTGGGGGTTGGGGCTTCAATTTAATGAATTTGGGTGGAATACATATTTTCAATCCATGACAAAATCAATTGATCATATACACAAGGGTTTATTTCTGGGCTCTATTGTATTCCATTTGATTTGCCTATCTTATGACAGTACCACATTATTATTGTAGCTTTGTAGTAAGTTTTGAAATCAAGAAGTATGAATCCTCCAGCTTTGTTATTTTTTAAGACTGTTTTGGCTATTTGAGTCACTTGAGATTCCATATGCACATAGGATGAGTTTTTCTGTCTGTGCAGGAAACCACCATTGGGATTTTGATAGGTATTATGTTGAATCTGTAGACCACTGTTCCACAGTGGGCAGGTCTATGCAAATGTGTCCCCACAGTCAGGAAGCTGAGAGGTCAAAGAAAAATGCTAACAAACTCATTTTCTTTTTGTTTTTGAGTTGGGACCTCACTCTGTCACCCAGGCTAGAGTGCAGTGGCATGATCACACTTAACACAGCCTTGACCTGGGCTCAGGCAATTCTCCCGCCCTTGAGGGAGTCCTGAGTAGCTCAGGCTACAGGTGTGCACCACTACACCTGGCTAAAAGTCCAGTTTCTTAGAAACATTTAATAGGGACTTACAAACAGAAGCTATGTCTGTGTCTTGGGCAGTGGCAAGACAAGATCGTGGGTTCCTGTGTTATCACCCTCCAGACCTAGGACTTATATACCATAAAAAAAGGGTATATGTGATTCAGAAGGGATATGTAGGATAAATGAAATACATTAACATCAAGGTTGTTCTGGCCTAAAGACAAAATTTACAGTAAGTACATGCTCTTACACAAGGAACAATAGATAAACTGGAAATCTTAAGAAGCCTTCTTGGAACTGGGGTTAGAAGTCAACATGGTAGATTAGCGTCCAAGATAGAGTTGTTTTGATCTCTACAGTCACTTTGGGTAGTATTGTCAACATTACTAAGTCTTCCAATCCATGAGCATTGGGGGATGTATTTTCATTTATTTATGTGTTCTTTTTTTTTGAGTCGGAGACTCTGTCACTCAGGCTGGAGAGCAGTGGCACACTCACGGCCACTGTAGTAGCCCCGACCTGCTGGGCTTAGGCGATCCTTCCACTTAAGCCTTCCAAGTAGGTGGAACTACAAGCCTGCGCCACCATGCCCAGTTAATTTTTTGATTTATTATAGAGATGAGGTCTCACCAAGTTGCCCAAGCTGGTCTTGAATCCATGGACTTGGGCAATCCTCTCACCTCAGCCTTCCAAAGTGCTGGGATTATAGGCGTGAGCCACCATGCCCAGCAAGCTTTCCAGTGATCTTATGTAGTCTTCAGTGTGTGAGGCTTTGTTTCTTGGTTAAATTTATTCCCAAGTATTTTATTCATTTTAGTGCTACTGTGAGTTGATTTGTTTTCTTAATTTCATTTTTGAATTACAACTGATTTTTGAATCTTGAATTTGTACACTGCAACTTTGCTGAATTTATCTGTTAGCTCTTACAGTTTCTTTGTGCAATCTTTAGGGTTTTCTACATATAGGATATGCCACCTGTGAACCAAGATAGTTTTACTTCTATTCCAGTTTGGATGCTTGTTATTTCTTTTTCTTGCCTAACTGCTCTGGCTAGAACTTTCATTACTATGTTGAATAAAAGTAGCAAAAGTAGGCATCCTTGTTGTTCCTGATCTTAAAGTTTTCAGTCTTTCCCCATTGTATATGATGCTAGGTTTTTTCATATATAGCCTTTATCATGTTGAGGAATTTTCCTTCTAGTCCTAGTTTATTGCATATTTTAATCATGAAACTGTTAAAAAAAATTTTTTTTGAGTTGGAGTCTCACTCTTTGTTGCTCAGGCTGAAGTGCAGTGGCACGCTTACGGCCACCGCAGCCTCGACCAGCTGGACTTAGGCGACCTGCTGGGCTT